AGCCAATTAGAAAGAACATGACATTTACAAAGTCTGAAATAGTTGAAAAGCAACTGTGTTTACTGCTTTTAGGGTTCCGTTCAAAAAGTAATTTGTCATTATTTCGAAGCTGCCTACCCTGATCCTAGTATGGAAAATGGAGTATGATCCCAATTCATATAGTTTTACTTGATATTTACCCTAATTTAAACTATATTTTGACAGTGAGTTTTTTTAAGAAAATTATTTTTAATTAAAAAAAATATTTTGGTGGGTTTTATTTTTGATACAGCTTTAAAACTGGTTCCAATTCTTGGGTGTTTATTTATATTATACATTCTGGGTTGAACACATTTCATTTGGAATTGGTCCAGGGAATACTTGAAGTGACTATCCTCAGGAGCCCTGGTGGCATAGTGGTTATACATTGGGCTGCTATGCCCAAGGTTGGCAGTTTGAAACTACCAGCCATTCCTTGGGAGAAAGATGGGACTTTCTACTCCTGCAAAGTTATAGTCTCGGGAACTCACAACAACAGTTTACCTGCCCTACAGGGTCATTATAAGCCTATGAGTCAGTACTGACTTGATGGCAGTGAGTTTAGTTTTTTTATTTATTTTATACTTAGTGCATTAAGTTGAAATTACAGTAGGCTATTAGGCTACACCACTATTTAAAACAAGTTTTGATAAAGATATTTAAAGACAGTCTGCTTCAACAGTTAAAAAGATATTTTGTGTTTAGCACTAACAATTAAATGGGTATTCAGGAAAGAGATTAGAAGTAAGCATTACTTTATGAAAAAATAATATTTATATACAAATAAAAGCTACTTTCCAAATGTGAAACAAAGACATATTCTAGGTTGAGCACCAAATTAGAAGCCAAGAAAACACAGGCTGTGTCTCACTTGAAAAGTGTATTGTGTTCTTGGCCCCAAACTGTTCTATTCCCAGCTCTATAATCATTGCCTACAGGGCAAGAAGAAAATGGAGATTTGGAGAAAAAAAATCTATTATGTGGTCAAAGAATAACAACAAAACAACAACTACTACAGCAAAAATCCATTCTTATAATGAAATTTTAGATTTGAAAAGTTTTGTTTTATCTAGTTCTAAGATTCCTAAACTCAAAGGTAGGAAGCTCGAGAGCAGGGTAGTCCATAAGAAGAGCAAATACTGGCAACAATGCCTCATTCAGGTGACAGGAGACCGGGAAGGAAGCTGAACTCCAGAGTGGAGTCAAATGGGGTCCATATCAATGAATTTCTTGGTGTAATACCCGTCAATGGTGTGTCTGTTAGGTACCTACTTTGTGTGAAACAGGGAATTGGAGAGTAACAGAGGGATTAGCAGAGTAGCTCTTATTCCTGCCCTCCTTGAAGCTACTACATTTTTAGGATCTGGAACCTAAAAGCATTGAAAGGAAAACCCAAACCAGACTCACTGCTGAGTCTGCCCTGTAGGACAGGGTAAACTGTCTCTGTGGGTTTCTGAGACTGACGCTTGACAGGAGTAGAAAGCCGCCACTTTCTCCTGTCAGTGGCAGGAAGGTCTCAGTAAATGCCTTGGATCAGGCTAGTGAATCACTTGGGAAGCAGTGTACGTGCCACTGTTGAGAAAGCATGTTTTAGAGTCAGACTCAAACGGGATTTGAGCTCACTTATTAACTGCAACTTATTTGCATAGACAAATTATATGCCTGAACCTTAGTTTCTTTAGTAGTAACATGATAGCATTTCTTCAGAAAGTTATATTGAGAATTAAGTGGAATTCCACTGAGTTAAATTATATGAAGCACCATATATATAAATATATACAATAGTGGTACTTACTTTTTTTTAAATCACTGCTGTCTGGTAGATTATGACTAATAGCAACCTTATAAGACAGGGTAGAGCTGCCCCTGTGGCTTTGAGGCTGTGATTCTTTACAGGAGCAGAAAGCTCATCTTTCTCCTGGGAGCAGCAGCTGCTGGTTTCCAAGAGACCTTGTGGTTAGCGACTCAACATGTACTCACCACGCTACCAGGACATATACATGTATCTATGGTACATATATTTTTCACTAAGTGGTGTGAAGAGTTAGGTGCTCAACTTCTAAACTGAGAAGTTAGTGATTAAAATCTTCCAGAGGTGCCTCAGAAGAAAGACCTGGTGATCTTCTGAAAGATCACTCAGACTCACTGTCACTGATAGGATGCCGACTCATAATGGACTCATGTTTCTGTGACTGTAACCCCATCTTTCTCCGGCACTGTTTTGAACTGCTGCCTTGCAGTTAGCAGCCTAAGGCATAACCACTACGCCACCAGAGTCCCTGGGAACCCTCTGGGGCACAGTTCTAAGATACAGGAATTCTCCATGAGTTGGAAGCTTTCTTTTCTTTTTCACCCTCACATTTTAATGTCTGGTATATTTTAAAACAAAAATATACAATCCCCACTGCTATAGAGTCAGTATCTGCTCATAGCGATCCTATGTAGGATTTCTGAGACAGTAACCCTTCACAGGTGTAGGCAGCCTTGTCCTTCTCCCTAGGAGTAGCTGGTGGGTTTGAACCACTGACCATACAGTTAGCAGCTCAAGGCATAAGCCACAATACGACCAGAGTATATTATATTCAGTATTTCCTTTCCCAAGAGTAATAATGAATATACCCATCCTCTGTCATCAAGTTGATTCTGACTCACAGCACCCCTATAGGACAAGGAAGAAATGCCCTGTGAGTTTCCCAGATGGTAACTGTTTTAACGGGAGTTGAAAGCCCCGTCTTTCTCCAGCGGGGATGCTGGTGGTTTCGAACTGCTGATTTTGCCGGTCACATCCTAACGTACAACTCCTCCGCCGACCCTATAGGGAATTGAAAAAGCTCTGCTTTTGAACCTGAGAAGCAGTGGGACTATCAACACAGCTGGGACAGCTCATTCCTTTCTTTCACTATCACTATCTCAGCCTCGAACTCAATGCTGACGCCCTCCCGACTACTTCTTACTCTTCCTTTGCGGAGGATTCGCTTGGGAGTGGGATGTGCCCATAAACTGGAGGAAGAAGAAATGAGTCACAGAATGGCCATTGTTTCCATTGAATGGAAAACACTCAAGCTTCACGAGAGTCTTGCCGGGGCCAACTGATGAGAAAATCCATACCCATCGTTCTGCCTTCCAAGGAGGCCAGGGTAGGGTGAGGGGATGGGGGTGGGGAGGATGTGGAGGAAAAAGAGAGGAAGAGGTGAGAAGGAAGGAGACGATGGATGGAGAGATGCAGTTTTGATTTTGTAGAAATGAACGAATCAATTGTTTCCCTGCTGGACTTTAGGAGCCCACCTACTTTCCTCTCAGCCGAGGACAATGATTTTTTTTTTAAAATCCGTGTTAAGAAAAGGTAAAATTGATGCAAGTATCCTGGGGGTTTTAGGAGAAACTTGTCATGCGTTCATCAAGAAACTCTTGGTTGAATTCAGCACTATTCAATGATTCGAGTCAGTTTAATTTCCTTCCTCTCTAAAGCGTTCTCCAACCAACCAGTGCAAAAGCGGTATCCCCTTTCTCTGAATTCGTGTGGAAGGCAATTGTTGCCCGTACAACGTATTTGATAATGAACCATGTGCCATGTACTGCCTGGTGTCATCTGTAGTTGTCAAGTTCGTCCATCCTTTACTGTCACTTGGTTTTCCAGCTATTGCACTCGTTTTCATCTCTTGCTGCTAGCATCTTTTCGACTGTTTTTATCCTCCCCTTAACAAGAAAGCTGCGAGGCCCAGGGACTCCCCCCCCCCCCAAACTGCTTTGCATCTCCCACAGCCCCTAAAGTCTCAAGACTTAGAGCTGTCATTTGCGGAAACTTGTGCTGCCTTGGTCAAATGTCATCATTTTGACGTTTAAATATTTTACTTTCGAAATCTGAGATCTACCATCTAAAGGACGCTACTGGAGTTGCGGGTGACAGGTTCAAGTACACTTGTTGCATCCACCAGCCACATCCCTTCTGCACCCATTAGCATTCTCCCGGTGGAGAGGACGCCCAGAGGCGCCTCATCTTGGGAGAGCTCAAACTGTCCAGTGCCGACGACTGGATTCGGGTCAGGGGAGCTGGCGGGACCCCACGGGTCGGCTCCCCTCCGCGTGTGCAGGCGCAATGGACCTTTCGCACCTCCCCGGGATGTGCAACTTGGACGATGCGAATTAGCCTGCGCTCGCGGCGCCTGGGAGGGCGATCAGCGCGTCCGGAGTCCAGGCTCCGGCAGTGACAGCGGTGGCCCTAATCGAATCGCCATCTCCCTTTCCCGCTCAGATCCCGGCTCCCACGCTCCCGACTCCGCGCCGCGGTGTTTCGCCCGCCGCCGTCTCCCTCC